TTTTTTTTTTTTTTTTTTCCTGAGATGAGTTTTAAATTGTTCTTTTGAAAGAAGGTTACGTTCTATTTTTTAATTTTTTATATTTATCATTATTCGTATCGTTTAAGATTATCTGAAGATTCTATAACTTGATGTGCAATGAACCTAACAAGGCTAACTTCTTCTATTTTGTCATTTTCTGTTTTATGTGAATTTTTACAGTTCTCAAATGATTTTCTGCCTTTTTTCCCTTAAAACCTCTAGGAAACTTTTAGTACTAAATTTGTTTGATTTCCACTCTCCAAATTGTGATTTTTATAGATATATTTATTTGTTTACAGTGGTGGTTTTCATTTCAAAACCTATTTTCTTTTGCAAGGTTTTTGTTTATCCCATTATGCAAATAATAATGATTTTGAAATTATATAATGAATATTTATTTGGATTAGTTTCATCCTTTATGCTTATTATATTTACAGTAATTATTATTATTATTATTATTTTTGGTGAATGGTTAGTGAATTCTTGATTGTTCTGTTCTATCTTTGCTTGATACACTATTGGATAGCAATTCATTCACAGTAAACAACAGAACTGCTGGTGATATTCTTCTCCAGGGGATTGAATAGCAATGTCAAAAGGAAAGAAGACTAAACGGAGAAGGGACAATTCAGCAGACAGTCAGAATCCCATTAATGAAGAAGAGATTGACGGAGCCAATAAAGTAGAGGCAAGTGGAGTTGGTGATGGTGATCGTAATGGGAATATACCTGGTAGGATTTTGTCTACTGTGAAGGTTAATTATGGTGGGGGCAAGAAGAAGAAGCTTTTAAACTCTTGTGGAGATTCCCCTTTTTTTCAGAAGGTAGCTAAGGAGGGAGAAAAGTGTGGAGGGGAGAGAATAGATGGTAGTTCCATGGTTCATAAAAGCAAATATATTTTCCCCAATGACTTGAAGAACCTCGACCTTGTGCTTTCACAATTTGTCTATGAGAGCAATAGCAACAGTGGGAGGGATACGGATGATGATACAAAAATGCAAGCTCAGTTTCAGGAGGTTATGAAGAAAGATAAAGGTCATAAAGAGGATAATGAGGATGATGGAAACCCAATTTATGGTGACACTTACAAGGCTGCTGTTTTGCCAAGTGTAAACTTCAAAGACCACAATGGGAAGAAGCCAGAGACAATCTTCAATTTGAGTAGAAATGATAGTACAGCAGATGTGCAAGTTCAAAAGGTTTCTTCTTCCTTCCAGACTTCAACAGGAGGCAAGTTGGCTAGGAAAAAGAGATGTCTGAAACCATCTGCCAAGGGGTGTCCCCATGAGGTGAAAGTATCCCCTTATTTCAGTGAGATATTCAAAGAAGAAGAAGAAGACGAAAAAGAAGAACAAGAAGAAGAAGAAAGTGGAGGTGAGGTTAGGAAAAAAAGACATGTGAAACCATCTACTAAGTGTTGTTCCCAAGTGATTGTTGTATCACCCTATTTCAACAAGATACCCAAAGAAGAAACAAGTGGATGTGAGCTTAGGGGGAAAACACAGCTGAAACCACATAGCAAGGGTAAACCACATACCAAGAGTTGTCCCCAAGTGGTGAAAGTATCCCCCTATTTCAGTAAGATACCCAAAGAAGAGGAAAGTGCATCTGAGGTTAGGAAAAAAACACAGCTAAAACCACGTACCAAGAATTGTCCCCAAGTGGTAAAAACATCCCCTTATTTCAGCAAGGCACCCAAAGAAGAGGAAAGTGGGTTTGAGGTAAGGAAAAAAACAAAGTTAAAACGAAATACCAAGAGTTGTCGCCAAGTGGTGAAAGTATCACCCTATTTCTGTAAGATACCTAGAGAAGAAGAAAGTGGAGTTGATCAACTACCTCAATGCATAATACCACCTACAAATGTTCTTTCTGCTTCTCAGAAGCGAGATGAGGCATACATGAGAAAAACTCCAGATAACACATGGAAGCCTCCAAGGTCTGAAAAAGGTCTACTCCAGGAGGATCATGCACATGACCCTTGGAGGGTCTTGGTTATATGCATGTTACTCAACAAAACAAGTGGTCGGCAGGTTTGGTCTTTTCTTCTTGTTTATATTGTTTGTCCTCAAAGTAATTTTGATAAACGCAAATTGCTTATTTTCCCTTCCATGAAAATTATACTCAACTTTGGTGTGGCATGGTTTATTTCTTGTTGATAGAAATAAAATAGATGCTGTTAGAGGAGTGATGCCAATGTTTTATTAACAGTTTAACTGGACTTCATGTTACTAATACTAGAATTATCCTACCGTCATTGTAACAAAAAAACTGGGTTGCTAACTAAATTTGTAGAGATTTTGGTATTTATAATTCCCTAAAGAAAATATGAGTTAATTTAGAGCATTGGACAGCAAGTAGAAAGGCTTTCATTTTAGAGTTTGGTTGGTTTTTCCTTTTAGACATGTTGATATAGGCTTAGCAAAGTTATTTTAGTTTCCTGGCCTCTTGTTTTGTGGGAATGAATGGATATTGTTTTTTAAATTGTATTTTTATTCAATAATTCTGAAATGATTGTTGAGAAGTTGTTCAGATTAATAGATCTGATTATGGAACTGAATTCATACATTTTGACTGATTGAAATATCCTCATCAACAAAATGTTTTTGCCTCAAACATGTAATGTTGACTTGGTTGTAATTGATGACCTGGCATTTTGCTGATTAATGTTTCTGTAACCCCATCTTCTACTATAGTGAAAAAAATTGGAAATAGCTTCTGTCAATATTTTCAAGCATGAAAAACGTATTAGACCTTATCAAGTTATGATAGTTCCATGATATTCTTGCTTGGTTGGCTAGCTTGTGTAATACAACTTGATCACTTTTTTCCTTTTTTTTTTCTTTATATATATATATATATATATTTACCCTTTGGATTTAAGTTTTCCTTTTAAAAGCAAATTATTTGTTATGATAGAGAAAACAGACCCTGGTACTTTAATGGCATTAAGATTCTAAACACTACTTGCAGACTAAAGGACTAATATCAGACTTCTTCACTCTCTGCCCTGATGCGAAGACTTGCACTGACATTGCCACAGAAGAGATAGAAAAGCTAATAACTCCGCTTGGACTCCAAAAGAAAAGGGCAGTAGCACTCCAGCGGTTCTCTCAGGAGTATTTAAGTGAAAGTTGGACCCATGTGACTCAGCTACATGGTGTTGGAAAGTGAGTTGAATACTATCCATCTCTTTTTGCATCTCATAGATGTCAAGTTCCCGTTAAAAACTAATTGAATGGTCTACGCAGGTATGCAGCAGATGCTTATGCAATATTTTGTACAGGCAAGTGGGATCGAGTAAGACCCACTGATCACATGCTAAATTATTACTGGGATTTTCTGCAAAGCATCAGGAATACCTTGTGAAGTTGTGATAGATTTTCTTCTTTAGATGAATGAATTATTGTTTCATTAGTTGTTAAGGTCAACTGAGTAAATGAAAAAAAAAAAAAAATAAAATAAAAGAAAAGAAAAACATTTTTCAGTTTTGGCACATGGGTATCTGCTTACTATGTATACCGGCACCATCATTGAATGCTTGAAGTAATAATATTGGTATCTTTTAAAACCCTTTTTGTCCATCATATTGCTCGATATTTACTTGGATAATTAACTTTTTTTTTCCTAATTTTACTCTGTTGGCAACATAGTAAGAGTGATTCTTGAGGCTTTGAGCCTTTTTACATGCTTTCCATTTTCCCTTTTAAAGCCTTTGGATATGGAAGGATGCAACAGGGAACCAGGTTGATTCATGGTATGTTTTTAAAAATATTGGTTTAAGTCTTTAAGATCTAGTTGGTCCCTAAACTTTTAGAGGTGGTACCAAAATGATCTCTGAACTTATTTTTAGATTACTTTTTCCAGGGTAATTATGGCTTCTTAATTGGAGCTTTGGATGTTTCTTTTAATGCCTGATGACAATCCATTCCTTTTGCTTGCTTTCTTGTCCGTACATTTGCCTTGTTCTTCTTAATCCTCATTTTGGTGCTACTTTTCAATCCTGATTTTGAAGACACTATTTTTTTTATTATTCTTTTTTTTTTTTCACTGTATTGTATTTTACATGAGAAATAAAGAAAAGGATGTGAATTGTTTTTTGTTGCTCTCATGTTAAGTTGTATTCTGATTCTGACTCAGATCTCTATTGCAACTGGGAACTTAGGCTGAGAATTGTTATTGTTAAATGTTCCTTTAATAGATTTGATTTTTGGGTTTTACACTTAATGTTGTATAACTGTGTTTCACTTTCGCTAGTCTTATGAATATATAGCTGCATGTGACTAGAAAACTTAATAGAGGTTTCTTGGCACTTGAGATTTTCTGATTTTACCCTATTTTTGTTTTACTAGTTTGAATGAAACAACATCTAGTGTGGTTTGCTCAGGAACCATTGGGAACCAGAACTCCTTTAGGGAAAAGCATTGTTCAATTCCATGTGAGAGATAGGCATTGGGTTTTTTCTCTTCTCCCTGTTTCATTGGAAAGCCGAATCTCATCAACTAGATTTAGAATTTGAGGCTGATGAGGTTGTTTTGTCTGTTCCTGGACCGGGAAGTGTCCACCTTACTGGTTACCATCTACAAAGTGATTGGCGTGACGCTAATGGACTTGTTACACAAATTACCTTTCCTTTTAGAAATGGTCCTTTTTTAAATAAAAAAAAAAACCTTTTGTATTATACATAAAATTCCGTTGTGAAGGTCGAAAAAGATTACTTGTTCCAGTATAGCTCGTTGGACAGCGGAGGAGAGATTTTGGTCTACTTTGATGAGGAGAAAGGGGAAGTTGAGAGGGTGGGAGATGGTAACAGTTGCAGAGTCAATGGAGTTTGGGGGGTAATTTAATTATGAGATGTTTGCATTGCCTTAGCGAACGGAGGGTTAGAGGGGCTATCCATCGTGTGGTGTGGTAGTGTTAATTTCCAAATTTCCCCCCAAAATCCAAATCAAGTAATGATTTTAAAAGTAGAAGTAGCCAGTAGGTCAATTGATTCGATTGACAAAATAAAGTGTACTAATAGAAAAGATCAACTACATTAAGGGCATGTTTGGTTTAGTTTTTTAGAGTTTTTATTTTTTTTAATATTATTCATGAATGATAAGTCTAAATTTTTATTGAAGGAAAAATGTAAAAGTTGCTTTTAAATATAAGAAAAAGTGAGTAAAAATTGAGTAAAAAATAAGTAAGAATGAAGTTTATGAAAAGCAAAAATTTGAAACTTTTTAATTTTTACTGTTTATGATCTTTTTAAGATTAAGAAAAAGTTAAAAAATGTAAGTTTTTAAGAGGAAAATTTAAATTTATGAAACATAAATAGTGTTAAAAAGCTAAAACTCCTAAAAATTAAACCAAATATGCCCTAAATTTAACTAATAATAACAAAAACAAAGAACTCATTAAGAAAGTTGAACCTCTTCTATTATGAAAAGAAAGTTACAAAATCGTTATAGGAGTTATCTATGAACTAAATGAGTGTTGAGTTAAGATATGTTGAAATGTAGATGTTGTTGAGAAGAGCAGGTCTCTTGAAAAATGTGTTGAAGTGTTGTATTTATGGGCTTCTATAACTAGAATTGATTGCCAAAAAACATATCTGATCTTAATTTTATCCAACTTTTCTATTATCGTGCTTGATCAAATCAAAGGAATATCAACAGCTTTGAATCCTTTCTTGCAAAATGAATTTTTATCCTGTGTCATTTAGTTGTCAAAAATAGAATTTTAATTGTCAAAAATCTTTAGAATCAGGCTTGTTGTAACCTTTGTTGATTTTGTTAACTAAGCTAAATAATTCTACACCATATTAACAAACTCCTTGATTTTATGAAACCTCACCTTCTCTCTTTCAATTCTGCCACATGGTAGAAATTCATTGCACCATAATTTCTTTTTATTGTGGACTACATCACACTAAATCATGGCTATTGATCATCTTTTAAATTCCCAATTGTATGAAAAAATTATGGCCATTGGATCTTTATTGAGGACATATGGCATCATTAGGAAAATTGCATCGAATGTGGTGTAAACAATGCCCCCCACACCTTACTTCACAACTTCAAAGGAGTTGGAGTAAGGTGTTTGTGTAATTAACTCA